GTTCTTTTCTTGCAAACGTTTCATTACCCAGCTAGGTAACATGCTTAGACCAAGCCAAATCCAAACATGCAAGAGAATTCTTGGAAACTTGGTATTCAGACAAGGCAGCAATTAACAGACACATAGAGATAAACAGCATCTACATACTATTCAAGAGACAAAAGATCTGAAAATGCCTCACCAGCATTCAATCACCAGCAATCATCTCCAGCAATCATCACCCAGATAAGCAAAGGTCACCACCAGGCACACAATCAAGCAGTCAATATACGCTAATCAATGAACTACCAGAAGAGCAAAACAGAAGCCCCACCCCCACCAGCACTGGCAAAGCAGGCCACAGCAGATAAATAGAGAGCAAACCTCATCCCATTTTAGCACTGAAGATGTTACCTAGCTGGGTAATGAAACGTCTGCAAGAAAAGAACCAACCTCAGAGAACCCCAAGGACTCCACAGAACTTTAAGAATCTAGAAGCAGTGTTACAGAATTAGGGATGGCTTAAAAAGGTGGGAATGTAAATGATGGGACTGAGCAACATATGGATCAAAACAGTTTGGAAAGGACGGACTTCCCAGGAGGTTATGGTTATACAGTTTATCAGGGAGAAGGACTGTCAGGGCTATGGTACCATCAGAACTGCAGTTTATATATCCTCTTGATATCTTCTTAGACAATAATTTACAGTTTTCAGTTATTTTCGAGAACAAATCACTGGAAGCAAGTTTAGATGATGGCCTGGGTCACACAAGTTAACCCACCCACAATCGGGTTAGCTTAGCATGCTGTGAGAACCCAGCCATCAAATGATAGAGGCCCATATGCACATCAGTCCTGAGAGTGTTTCTGAGGATACATTCTTCAGTACATCCTGGTTTCTGTGGAGTAGGGAGTGGATTTGATGAAGAGCTGTCAGGGAAAGCAGGTGAAGGTGATTTGACCCAAGGAAGTTGTTTGGAAGGAAAAAGAGAAGTTGACTAGGCTAAATGCTTAATCTTCTGCAGTCCTCTCTAGAAATAATTGTTTGGGAACCAGGAGAAGCCAGAAATCAGTGTTTTAAACCATCAGTAGGAATCCTTCTGTAATAAAGACAAACGTTTAGCTGAACTTCAGTTTGGTGGGTTCTGCCTGGCTTGCCAAACCACACACATGCAAGCAATCTATTTTGTTTGGATTTGGGAAGAAAGCGAAAACAAGGGGCAGGGAAGCCATTGTGGGTGATTAATTCCATCTGGTGCTAACTGGGCCCGGCTTAGTCTGATAGCTTTAGGTTCAGTGCGATGGCAGCAGGAGCTCATTCCTTCCCTTGTAGTGCTTTCCCACAGTGGCTCAGTCCTTTATTTCCATTGGCTTTTGTCCCAGGTTCCACTCCTTGCTCTGTTTGTCTTCAGGTTCCACTAATGGTGTTATTTTTTTCGGACACTCCCCTTCCCAGATGGCTCTGACTAATCTCCTGTCAGTTTTAGTTTAAGTCATTTTAAAGTAGTGTTACTTGGGAAATCCCATCTCCAAATGTTCTGTGGGCGTGCTGGGCCTTTTTGGAAGGATTGTTAAACTTGGAAAGGCTTTCAAAGAGTACTTTCACAATTCACTAAAACAATTGAATCAATACATTAACAATGAAGCATTAGGTGTTGGCAACTCTTTCCCAATTGGCCACGCCCAGGTACCCTGAGAGCATGAGGGAACCTTGTCTACCCTGTTCAGGAGCAAACAGCTTTTCCAGAACTCAGGACAGAACTTGCTCCCCTTCAGCAGTTTGGTTGCGGAATATGATGACGTGGGAAGGGAGGGGACATCACAGGAAGAGGTGAAGCAATATTTTTACCTATCATTGACGTGGTTGTTTTCAAGGATGGGAATGGGATCTGAAGGCTGTAGACAGAACAGCTGATTTTCAGCAGTGCAATTTTGGCCATTTTGGGGTGTTGGGGGTGAGCAGAAATAGGAGTAGTTTGGCTCCCAGAGGCCTCTTCCTACAATTTCCAGCTTTATCTTGGTGGGAGGAGGTCACATTTCCAAAAATTGGCATTTGGCTGTTGTATGTCAACATCATAATCTCAAGATGCCGGGTGGGCCCAGGTGGCCAACCCCTGATGTACTTGGAAGACATACTGAGATGGTAATACGCAGGATGCTTTTAATATTTATGCTATCTTTATACAGCATAATTGCAGATGCTTGGGAAGTGGTTTTTAAAAAGTGGAAAGTAAACTGCCTACAAATATTCATAAGCTGTAATGAACCATTTAAAGTGCCCAAAATATTGTGATACCATCTTTCACCAAGAAGCCCACATAGAGTATAGTGTATTTTGAAGAACCAGAAAGTCTTCACTTTGGTGTTCTATTCCAGCATCCTTGGAAGGCAAAAGCATTCTTGTATAAAGATGGAAAGCACCCTAACTTTTGTAGTGGAAACAGGCAGTCATCATAGATACACAGAGAAGAAAATTTGTTTCATGACTCCTGAAGTATATCACTGCCTTCTACTTTACTGGCTGCCCAGATGAGTTTGGTCAGCAGGCAGACTAGCTGTGTATGTTGGGAATTGTGCTCCAAAAATGTAAGGACGTGTTGGGGAAGGCTGTGATACTTAGAAAATCAACCAACATTTGTAAATATTTAGAGCTAAGTAGGCTGGGCACGCTTTTTGAGGCGGGGGATCACATTTTTCTTAAATGTCACCAAGTTTCTTTTTTTATAATAAGGTTATATAATAGTTGAGGAGACTGCTGAAGACTCTATCGAATGCCTCTGGGCATCATAGTATTGGTGAAAAAGGATCCCAGTGGGTGGTACTATGACACAAATTGGATAGGGCACAGCAAGGATAAGTACTATTTTCCTGGGCCCAGAGTTTTTTTAGTTTGTTGGAAAGATTTAGGATTTTTCGTTCTTTTTTAAAAACAATATTTAAAATCTTGATTTTACACTTCATTTCCACCTCAGATAGCAGGAACTTGTAAGAAGGCAGGCAGGCAGACAGACAGACAGACAGAGGGAGAGAATTCAGGGGTGATGTGCCTAGCACTTCTGCTATAGGCTGTCTGGCTCCCACTGAGACAAGGACAAACATGACTAGATTTTCAACCTTTAGTGGAATCCAGGAGCCAGATAGTTGATTGTTCCTGAACAAGGAGGAAGAGTAGTTCAGAATTTGGTTAACTGATTAACTCTCAAATACTGTATGCCCTCTTGCAGTGCTGCTTTCTTAGAAGAGACGGTAGAGATTTCCCCTTGTTTCTGGCCCTCATATTTGTGAGATAATATGCTTATTTATACAGTATTCTCTGCATTCCTTGATTCCATCAAGATAGGCTGGATTCTTCCAGCCCCCAAGTGAGCCCTACCGTAGGTAGGCTAACGGTTCAGTGGGGCTGTATTGTGTATCTTTGGCATGTAGAAGTCCTTGGGCTTGTTATCCAGCAGCTCTAATTATAGAAACATGAGTCGCAACGCATGGAAAGACTTTGGCATGAGGTTATGAAAAGCCATTTCCATTCACGGTAGGCATTACTAGGATAGGTGGCCCAGTTTCTTAGTCAGAATAAAGCAATCTTTTGTATCCTAGACACCAATTCTTTTTTCTAAGCCAAAGAGCCATAAACTGCCTCCAGCTCTGAAACCAAAGCAGTCTGCAGCTGATGAATGAAAAGGAACATATCTATTAATTACTTTCTCACGGAAATAAAATGTTATCGCTCCTGGTGGAAGGGAGGAGGCAGAGGTCTTCCTGTTTGGCAAAAATAGATTGCTTTTGGCTCAATATCAGAGATGATTGCACTTGGAAAGGCTTAAGCCAACTAAGTTGTCTTAGTTTAAGGATAAATCTGAAACAGCATTTGGTAGTTTATGTGTGAGTCAGGATCCACATACGTAGACAGAACATAAAAGTAATTCTGCAGAATACTTCCCTAATAGAATTGCTACCTGGTTGGCCACCCACAGCAGGTGGCAGCACCCAGCTGACACTGGCTGATGTTGAAAAAGTAAAGCAGGGACAGACTTGGTTAGTATTTGGATGGGAAATCACCAGGAAATGCCAGGACTGAACAGAAAATCCTAGAAGAAGACAATGGCAAGACACTTCCCTGTTGTTTCCAAAACAAGCAGGATTGAGTCTGATCCCTGGGGAGTCTTTATCTTCATGCAAGGCCAGTATCAAGCAGACAAGACCATTTTTCCCCTGTACTATTTAATAATAGGAACAAAATATTTTCTATATTGTTAGCACATATCACTAAGGAGCACATGTTCACCAATCGGGGAAACAGTTGTGTTTTCAGAATCTGTTTAAGAAAAGGGCAGTCTGGGGTACTATACTATTTAATCTCTTGCTTTTCCTCTCCTGGCTTTATTTTAAGAGATCAGTTGGTTATTATGGCATCAGCAGATAAGCTCTCTTCCTACCACTCTAATTTCCTTGCTTTCTGATAGGAAGGAGGGTGTTGATTCATTCTGCCCTGGTCCTTTCTCGATAATGCAACAATTGTTCTTTTCAGGGCAGCCCTCTTGGTCTGGTCTTTATCTCAGTCCAGGTCTGGTCTTTATCTCAGTCCAGCACATGGTCTCCTGGACTTTGAGGGGTCTGACAACAGCACTTTGTTCCTTTCAGCAAAGTTCCAATCAGAATGTAACAAATGCTGGATGATTAAGGAGGAGGAAATTTAGCTTTGTTTATAGGCCTTGTAGAGAGGAGACTGTTGCTTTTGCACAAGTAATTCATGATCATCGTGATTTCAAATCTAAACCAACTCCATGTATTTTTAGTTGCTCACCAGGCAAAGCATTTGTTTTATGTTTGTATTACTTAAAGACAAAGTAAGACTGAGCAAGAGAGTTTAAGAGCGGCTGTTTGTGTGTATAAGCAATACAGTAATAGGGATTTTAGGGATAGAAGAGGATGAGACAGACTTCTGGCTGCATTTTGCACCCCCAGATAAGTGGATTTATTTTAGTCTTTAGAAAAACAGGACAGTTGTAAAATGATGATTGGAATGCTTTTTTCTGTAAATGAAAGTTGAGATTCTGATTCTCCCTCCCCCCTTTTTTTTCTACCTGAAAGGCCCAGAGGCCAAAAATCCTGAACAACATTGAGAATCAGCTGGATGAACTGGGAGCTGCAATAGCACAGATGAAGAGGATGGTGGACCTCATCAAAGTATTTTACCGCTTTTATTTTATCCCCAGTAAAAAGCAAAATGTTGAACCCTCCTCCGAAACCTTTCCTTTCCACAGACTTTCCTCCCATTATTGTCTGTTGTCAAGAGGTAACAAATATAGGCCACCCTTCTTGAAATATAGAGCATCCTTCCCCTCAGGAAGGGGGCAGCTATGAGGATGCTAGAGACCACAGTCCCAATGTATCTGTAAAATCCGATCGAGGAAGGCTGTCTTCAAGAAATGTCCATTTAGAGATTATATGTCTGTTCTATAATTGTCTGGGTTAACTAATTTGCATATAAATAAAGAACAAATGTACTGTTCCCCAATTTCTTATGCAAATATATGTTTCTTGAGACCTACATTACAAATGCAACAGAATTACATGAGGCTTCTTTCCTTGAATAGCAGACGGTTACAGTGTTTAATGTTTGATCCCTGGAATTGAGTCCCCATATTCGTAGAAAAGAAGCCCTGTAGGGCAAAGTTAAAGTTCATGGATAACCTTCCTGATAACCTGCTTTTCCACACATGAGGAAAAAGCTTCCTTATTTATGAAACATACCAAGAATTGGATGTTATTCCTTAGAGATTGGAAAACTTACCAATTTGGGAATGGAATGTTCCTGACAATTCCAGAACATCCCATTCCCAAAGTGTTAGGTTTTGCAAATTCGTGGTATTTCTCGAACAGCCATGGTGGTTTTTTACTTCTCCCAATTTCTTACCCATAGTTAAGAGATGGGGAGTACTCTCTTATCCTGCTTTTCTCTTTTCAGCATTTACATTCCACTTTAATGCTAGTTTTAAATTTTCCACAGCAACATGATTGGCCTGCAAAGGGAAGGGAGCAGTGAATTGAATTAGGAAAATGATTAACATGAGGGATGGAAAAGAAGTGTGTGAGCCCGAAGGACAAGGAAATAAATGAGACACACAAGACCTCAACTGTTTTCAACTTGCCAAGACATATACCCCTAAATGCATTTTTAGAAAACTTTTTTACTCTTATTACATTTTCATGGAGAAGCAGCTTACTTTTTTTCTTCTCCAGCACAGTTCTCATGAAATCCCCCATATTTTGAGGGAAAAGATCTCCTTGGTCCAATGGGCATCTTTCTAAGAACCAAGAGGGGATAGATGGTGAATGGGGTGGGGTAGACTTCTGTCACTGCAGAGTAAAGGTGAGCCCATGGGCTACATACAGCCCTCTGTCACTCCATCTGCTGCTCATGGTATCTGAAGTTAGTCCAGCTTAAATTTGGCAGCAAAATAGCTGAATTTCAGCTGCTTGTCCCCCCCTTTTTTTTTCCTATATGGCAAATAACATGCTCTCATTCTTACCTGCACAAACTTCCCCAAATGAACCAAAACCACACTACTAAAATTTGGCAATTTTGCCATAATTTTGGACTGATTAGGGGGCTGAGTAAGGATAGGAAGCCTTAAAAAACAGTCCCAAAACTTCAACCCTGCTCCTTCCTGGATCATTACTATACTAGTGGAAAGCCTTCTGGAGCCTTCAGCAAACTGGAAGGCTGAGTTACTGCTCCTGACCCTTTACAAGCAGCCTAACCTAAGTACAGTGTTGGGGAGGAAGGGTAAAACTGCCTGTTGACTGCCCCCTCTCCACATATTTGCTAGTAATAAAAAACAAGATTCTTCCTTACGATGGGTTCTGTGCCACGTTCCCTCAGGCTACTTCTTAAATGTAGATTTCAAATGACATTTGATTTGTTCTTATTCAGGAAAGGAGCTTGGTTTGTTCACATTTTGGGCAATGATAATACGACAAAGGACTTCTGTTGGTATAAAGCCACCTTTGTTTTTTAAGGCTACTGCTCAGAAGGAGAAGGAAAAAGTCAGCAGTCTCTTTGCCGAGGCTGCCAAGGTCCTGGCAACCTTTAAGAAGGAAGTCCTTGGCTTCATTGAGGTTGATGAAAGAGCCATGCTGAGCGGTGCAGAGGAGGAGCTGCAGCACAAAGAAGAGCGACATGCCCTGCTGATGGAATACAAGCAGAACCTGGAGAAAGTCCCCAGCATGGATACTATCGCTTTCCTGCAGGTACGCTCCATGAATTATTCTTGTCGATGATTCACCTGCCAGCAGAGAGGCAGCATAGGTTTCATTGCATTCCTCCTTCATATGGGTAAGACTAGAAGCACCCAGGATGCAGCGTTTCTCCCTGGAGAAGGGCAGCAGTGACTTGGGAGCTCCTGTTTGAGAGCCAGCTCCATGCACACATCTGTTTGCACAGCACATGTTTAGATGGGCCTTCCAAATTTGTTTGGTGGGCACCTTAAAAGCCAATGATTGAAATAACCTCCAAGAGTCCCCATAGTTATAGACATAGGCCAATCTTAGCAGCCAGGAGAAAAAGATCAGAGCCAGCAGCAGCAGCAACAGCTGTGTGCATTGGTCTTTAACAGAAACGGCTGGTGAAAAAAGAGGCTGTGCCTGATAGTTTGTACCTACCAGCAGGTGGTTCCATATGAGTAGATGAGTGTGCCCGTGCATTTGGGTATGTTTTTCTTTTATCGTCCCACCACTTGTCTGCTTCTCATTAATCTAAGATCGCCTATTCATTCCCATCAAGATCTCTACTAGGAAATGTTTCCTGATTGGTTTCATTATTGGAAGCAAAGGGGCCATATCAAGAGAAGGCTCTCTTGGACTCAATGCTATTCCAGATGAAGATCTAGGAACAGCGTGTGCCAGCAGTTACAGCTGGTGGAGCTCTTTGCACCCCTTCTTCCCCCCACCCCATCCCCTGCCATACCTGGCCTGTATTGTAATTTTGAGCCATAAGTGCTAGTGGCTTGGGAAGAGCTGTGTCTGCTGAATAGGCCTTGCAGTAATTAATTGCTGTAACTTCATTTGTTTCTTTTCTTGACCAGGAATTCCAGGCACTAAAAATAGCAGCTGAGGAAAAAAACTTTGCATGTACAAACTTCCCCAGAGAGCTGAGTTTTATCAAATCCAGTCAGGCTGTGTTTGCTGTGAAGGAGTTGCTGGGGAATATTTGCAAGAACCAGTGGGACCAACTGTCAGGGAAGGGCGAGAATGGACCCTTCCTTCACGGGATGCCCGAAGGTTTGTAATGGAGGAAACCCTTTCCTTGTGTTCCATGCTGAGGCTTAGACAGAATTCTTGGTGGCCTCCAAGAGTTGCCCTGCAGCTTAAGTACAAGATCTTTATGGTTGTAGAGATCTTAGGAACTCTTTGTCAGCAGTGACGCCCGGGATCCATTCACTGAGTTTGTCCATTATGCTGAGCCACATATGGTTTGTTCAGTTTGGCTTAGTTCATTGGGTTTGCCTATCTAATTTGTGGCTTATTCAGCAAACTATGATTAAGTATTCATGATTTAGGGCAAGATGTCAATTCTGTCATTATCTACATGTAAGTCTAAAATCCTAGCAGCTCTGGCAACCTTTGCCACTGTGAGGTTCTTCCTTCTTTCCTTCCATGCCACTTCTCAGGGTCTAGATAGCTTTCGTACTTCTCTCTTCCTTGATTTTTTTCCTCAAAATACCTAATATTCTCTTGTGCAACTGCGGCATGCAGCCTTGTGCAAACTTTGCTTTATATGGTAAACCATTCTTTAGAGTTTTGGTAACTCTTTATTTTAGAACTTAGATGGGGGAGGACATTCATATCCAGTGGGTACAATTTATATCTCCAAGTCCCCTGTGGCACTTTAGAAGGGGCACAAAACACTTTTGAGTTAGCCTTTGGGATTAGCAGATGAAGATGAAATGCCATCCCTTTCAAGGAGAAAAGCAACATAGGCACCGTCTAAAAGTGCTCCGAAGAGGTGCGGCTGGACAAAAATTGAAAGACAGGAAGAGTCTAATTGGTGTTAGTTATTTGGGCTCTGAATGGCACTCACATGTTTCCAAAATGACTCAAATATATAAAGAGGCAACAAACAGCCATCACTAGGTGTGGCTACTGGTGGTTTGGGAAGCACATCCAAAGCTGGTGTCCTTGAAATAACGGAACAGGGAAAACTTCTTTTCTTGACAGTCTTTCATTTCAGGGCTCCTATCCTGCCAGATTCAGAGCTCATGTTGCTGGTTCAGTTGAACCTGAAGATTGTTGGCTCGTTTCTAACTTTGAAATCCCAGTTTGTATTTTCTCTGTGCAGCTGCAAAAAATGTTATTACATTCTCCCCCCACCCCACCTTCCATTTAGCTAGAACTGCTCTTCTTTGTAGCTAAGACCATCTTTCCCCATATATGATTACAGCCCCCACCCCACCCAAGTGCTACCCAAAGAAACCATGACAATGGGAATGGAAGTCTTTACCTTTCTGCTCAGGATCAGCACCTCCCAAGTGGCTAGGTGTGAGAACTCTTGCCATCAACCCAGACAGCCCCTGCCCTAGCAAGGGCAGACAAAAAAGACTTGGATGGATGTTCAGCCAGTCCTGTTCTCAAGTTTGAACAACTTATAGTTTCTTCCATCTGTTGGCAATGCCTGAAAAATCCACTTAGCAAGGATGCACAACTAAGTCCCAGTTTAGACCATAACCATTTTTGCTCACCAGACTTAAAATTTTGAAGATGATCTGCAGTCATCTTGCTTCTGCCAGCTCAGAAACACTTGAAAACAAGGGATAAAAATCACTGCCTTTCTCTGAGCTGCTGAAGGGACTCACCTACAGTCCACAGAGAAGGAAAAGAAAATGCCTGCGTTCCTCTCCCCAGCCCACCCATATCCTTACATCATGCTTTGTACATTTGTTTGATCATAAGAAAAACAAAAATCGAAATGGGTCTTACGAAACATTATCATCACCTTTCCTGTTGAGAGATCTGCTCGGGCCAGAAAGCAGCAGGCAGGGTGAGGCAGTTTTTTCTGCAGATGGTGAAACAGCCTCTGTGCAAACTCCACAGAGCCAGTGTCAGCCCTTTGATGCAGGCCGGGTCAGAAAACAGCACCACAAGAAATAATAGAACTCAACTCTATTGATATAGGCTATAATATAGTAACAGAACCTTGAAAGCCTGCTGTTTCTCATCCCTTCCCTCTTATACCAAAGAGAGTCAAGGTCCGGCAATTTTGAGTTTTTTCTCATGTCTTTCCCAGGCTAAGCTCACGTTTTCCCAACACTTGTCACATATCATCTTCAAGACGTCTTCATACTACTCTATATTCTCCGGTTCTCAAAAAACAAACTAGCATGGCAATTCTTTTAGCTGCCAGAGACAATGTAGGATCACAGTAGCATAAAGTGCAAGTGCTACATACGGAGATTTTCCCATAAATACTGTGTCTCTAGAGCTTCCTGATTCCCCTAAAGCAGTGTTTCTCAACCTTGGCCACTTTAAGATGTGTGGACTTCAACTCCCAGGATTCCCCAGCCAACATGTTGAAGTCCACACATCTTAAAGTGGCCAAGGTTGAGAAACACTGCCCTAAAGTCTTGGCAGTGACCAGCAGAGTCTTTTGAAAACTGGCTCCACCACTTCTGCCCAGTCCAGAAAAGTTGTGCGTTCTATACAGAAAGAGACAAGTGCTCACAGAATCAAGGAAAACTTGCCCAGCTCAGGTACTCTACAAACAGAATTCTCTTCTGGCCTCCCTCTCTGTAGTATATGTAGTATGTTAAAAAACCACATATACAGAGTTTGTGGTATAGTTTCAAGCAGCAGTCTCTTCTGGGCGTCTAGCAAGCCATTACCTGGTCTCCCATTGTTAGACCGTGACTCTTACAGTAACATCATATGCGATTATTCTCTTTGGATATATTGTCAGCTTAAATATGTTTTTTGCAACAGACCATTTTTAAACCTATACGTTCTGTGAAGATGACAGAATGTGAGGCATAAGAAGATGTGCCCCCATCTGGCTGGATGTCAGTATGCTGTCCTTTAAACAAAACAGAAGATGTTGCTTTGGGACAAAGGGCCTCTTAGTGGTGATGATAGTTTCAATTCTGTCTGGGATGTCAACAGTATACACTGATCACAAATTCCTCTCTTCACAGTGACAGTTGAGCCCCAGGTTTCGGAAAGGAGCATCAATCCAGCCTGTTTGGAATCACGGGATTATTTCCTCAAATGTAAGGCCATTCTCTTTTCTGTATTGTTCTCCTCAGTTTTCATGCCTTTTTCATTAGTGGATGCATCATCTTTAAATCATTATACATAACTGTAAGCAGAGGTGTCTGCGAAGGTATATCTATTACCTTTTTGGCACTTTACTCTGTACTGTTTGTAACATGTTGAAAGGTATGGTTTTTCAATTGCGACCAAGTTTTGTTTTTATTTGCTGATTTTTAGTGTAAACACTTTGAAATGTCCAAAACAGGAAGTGGTATATAAGTATTTTAAATAAATAACTAGCGTTTTAAAATAAAGCCCCTCTTGCCACTCTGAAAATTCAAATATTGCCCATATATATGATAGTCCTAGCCACCTTGCTTCAATATTCCACACACTGAAGTCCTAACTCCTTCCCCAAACCATAAGTATGGCCTCCTAAACATTTCCCATCCCTTCAGTAAGCCAAGATTAATCGGGCCATGGTTTAGTATGAGGTACAAACCACAGTCACTGCTTTTGGGGGGGGTGCCACACCAAAATAAAAACTGCTCGTGCCATGTGCCTTCCTTGCTTATCATTTTCTTGCTTTTTATATTTCTGCTTTTGCACAGTTGCATTCATCATTGATTTGGACAGTGATACTGCTGACAAGTTCATCCAGCTCTTTGGGACCAAAGGGGCTAAGCGTGTGCTGAATCCCATTGCTTATCCTGAGAATTCAACCAGGTTCATCAACTGTGAGCAAATACTGGGCGAGAACCTTATGAACCGTGGCAACTATTACTGGGAAGTGGAGATCATAGATGGCTGGGTGAGCATTGGGGTCATCACTGAAAATTTCAACCCTCAGGAGTCATACGACCGGGGCCGCCTAGGCAGGAATGAGAAGTCATGCTGTCTGCAATGGAACGGGCAGAACTATGTTGCCTGGTTTGGCGGATTTGACTGTGTGATACAGCAGCCGTTCTTTCATACTATTGGGGTGTACTTGGAGTATTCAGAGAAGGTGATGACATTCTATGGAGTCAAGGATTCCAAGATGACTTGCCTCCAGCAGTTCAAAGTAGCTCGCTTCAAAAAGGGACATTTTGACCCTTTCCAGAATAAAATCAACCACCAGTTTCCAGCACTGTTCACACACAACCTCAAACCAGCCTTTTTCCTTGAAAGTGTAGATGCTCACATGCAGCTCGGGCCTTTGAAGAAAGACTGTGTTTCAGTACTTAAGCGGCGATAATTTGGTCAGTGTATGACCAAGAATACAGAATTTGACAAGTAGGATGATTGTGACATCTCTGCTGGAGCACTGTGTCATCTTTCTGAGTTAGGCTTGAAGAATTAATCATACTTGTTACTGCTCCTTTTTAATTACTTGATAGGTATCTTAAAGTTTAAAGAAGCACTTTCCAGCAAAGCCTTTTCTTATCTTGGTCATATTAGGGCTCATCTACAAAGGGCAAAAGACTTATCTCATCTAATGAGTCACTATACAAACCACTGGTATCTCCAGAGGCTTTGCACTCTTTCATGAGGAATACATGGATCAGTCATCAACAATACCATGGAAACTCCTCAGCATTATAGACAGCAGGCAGGAAAAATATGATCATTGATCAAAAATATTATATGCTAAAGGCCATCACTTGTTTTTAAATGTCACTAGGTGAATACTGCTCTTCTACTGCATTTAAAAACCACAACTCTGGAGAGAACTACTGTCTGTCATGTCATGGCAAATGGGATATATGAACAGATATATTCAGCTTTGCATTACAATAGCAAGAAAAGTAGTACGAGGTTGTTGGGGGCTTTAGTTGATTCTCAGCTTAAATCTAAATTCCAGTCTAAATATTAAAGATATAACCTTGAAATTAAATGGAGTACCTCTGGCTGTGTGTCAGCCCCACTAGGTAGACCAGATCAGGAAATGAACTCCACAGGAAGGGTAAACTTTTATTGAGATTGGCTTTAATTTAGTCTTGTAAGTTGGATTGTACTGTACCTCTTCCTCCTTATAGTTCATTGAATTAGGGAGGCATCTTCCTGAGCTGCTTCTAAATATTATTTTCTTGTTCTGGACTTAAAAAATGTTCCAGCTCCTTTTGTCTAAGTAACAGTTCCTACGTATTTCTATCAAGGTCACATTCCATACTTTCTACCCTGTGTTTTAATGGTATATGGACCTGTTTACTAATGTTGGGTTAAAAAGTGCTTCAAGGTAAACTGGGTTGCAGATCTGAATACGATAGTTTCAAGAGATGAGCACCTGCACAAGAGAGCAGAATGTTTAAATACTGGGTTGCAAGTTTCCCTTTCCATATAGTGTCTTACAGGCACAGAAGTATTATAAAAATGGAGAATCAGTCGCTCTCTGGATGTTGTTCAACTACATTTGGCTGGCTGGGCCTGATGGAAGTTGAAACTTATCAACCTCTGGAGGACTTCAGATTTCCTCCTCCTATGACACATTCTGCTTTTCTTCGTTGGGGCGCTGGGGGCTTTTTTGAGTATAGATCCATGGAAGTAAAATGGAAGAAAGACAATTGGTTAAGATGGAGAATGGGGATTGAACTTCTATATGTAGCAATGTAACTGTATAAAATCAGTCCTTTCCAAACATACAGCTAAGAGAACACTGCAAACATTTATAAATTTGTCATAATTTAGCCATGCTGATAGAATCCAGGAGTGGTCAGGGAATTCAGTGTCTGCTCTAGCTGCTTGGGATTGAGATTGACAGTTGAGTTCAAATAAACCGCCTATTGGATTCCTTTCATTCTAGAATATAATAGACTACCAGCGTTCATAATGTAAATTAGGATTGAAGAAGAATGAAATTTAATTTAGAGACAGAATTGATTTTTTTACAACCACAAGGCAATTTTGTTCTTTGAAGAAGATAACAGAATTACTCTAATGCTAGCTTACTTCATTAATTCCATGATCTCAGGATTACATTGTCTACAAGAGTGTTCTGCAGTATTAGTACATTATTTGTCTCCTAAACCTGTTTTGTTTACAAAATAAATTCTATTATATCCTGTATCCAGGGTGAAAGTATACTAGATCTGATTCATTATGAGATGAATTTAATGAGACCACTTTTCTTTGGTGCTGAAATGTTCCTACCTTTCATTAAAAAAAAAAAATTGTGAGGTCCTTATAGTTTTATTTGTCTTTTACTTCTGTTAATGAAAGCACTGCAGCATAGTCCTGAAATACACAAAAGTCATTTTTGGTTATTTTATTATGGCTTGGCCTGCTGCGATTTCAAGCAGAAACTCTGAATGGATTTATCTAGATACTGAACTGATTTCAGTTCAGACCTACTTACTACAAGGCACTGTGACTATTTTAGTCATTACTTATTACTGATAGAACTGCTGTGCATGTTATATGATTTCTGTGTCCTCAGTAAGTCTTCAGGGGGAGGTGCAGATGATTTGATTTATTTATTTAAAGAGTTCATATGGCTGCCCATCTCCCAGAAGTGACTCTGAGTGGCATACAGAAATTGAACACCACAACACAAAACCCATTGCACCCAAGGTTAAAACAATAAACCCCAATCACAAAAAAAACACACCAACAACAGTGGAGCTTACCTAACCTCCTGGCTCAAATGCCTGGGGAAACAACTAGGTCTTCAGAGCCTTGGTTGTAATGCAGCTGTATTTATTATTCCTTCAAGAACGAAAGGACAAGGCCTGTACATTGGGTTCTTCACTTAATACTGTGCTGTTTTTAGTGGTTTTTCTAAGCTGAAGTGGAAATCTTCCTACCTTGGGAATTCCCTCTTTCCCCCACCATCCAACACAGAGCTGCTGTAGATAGAAAGTATGTGAGGAAATGAGAATCCATCATATAGTATGCAGTCCCAGTACTAATTATCCCATCTCTTTTTGCAAATCAAGGATGAAATTCTGTGTTTTTTCTACATCATTGCCTTCTAACTCTGAGCAGATGGTAACTAAGCCCTCCTCTCTATAGACAGTAACAAATGAATTGCTTGTGCCATCTTACTGAACATTGGATAATAAGTTCCCACTTCATTGTTCCTGGGTTTTTTATGTTTTGCCTTCTTTGTTTCCCAAAGAAGGTGTTCACCATCTTTCTATACAGGAAAAATGATAGGTACATGATGTACATACTGAATTGTATGTTGGAATCTAGCATCTTAAATTTATATCCAAGTAATTAGTGTTAGGAAGGTTACAGGGATTAATAAAGGTAGATCACAGAAGGTTGAATTTGTGAGAAAGTCAAAGTAGTATGCAATTCAATCCCTTGAAATTAGGATTTTTTAAATATTCGAAGATGGTTAGTTAATGAAATAGGTGGAACCATCACTGCAGGGAAGACAGAAGAGGCACTCAGGTTGGTGGAGAGGACCTCACTATCTTACTCTCTAACAGCACAGATGTACAGTTCTGTGAGGAAAGGACACACTTGCAGATAATCCTAGCTAGGTTGCTAGACACATCATTCCTTCATTTCTCCTAATGCAGCCATTATAAGGGGAGGTACTGTTTGTTTATGATTTATTAAATGGGGTGAATAACTGGTTGATGGCAGCAAGGCCACACTTAATTTTTTTGGAGGAGTTTGTCCAACTGGATTCAAATATAACCAAAATGTAGAGTTGTGTCATAACATATGGCAGAGATAGGATTTTCCTTTTTAAAAAACATTCAGGATGAGAATTGAGTTTTTTAAATGTGTTAAGGTGATTTAAACTATAGGTTTTGTGAGTCATCTCCTTCAGTATCTCAGGAAACTATATGTTTTACCAGTCATGCTGCCAAAATCTGATGGTACAGAGGGAGCTCCAAAGGTTATAAAAAGGAAATACAGTATGAAGGCTAGATACCAGCCTGAGGCTGCAGACCAGGAATTTCTTTATGCTTCCTGGTTCTTTGGTTCACTGTTTCATTCCTAGATTAACAATACAAATCTTTAGGGCATGAAACCATGTATAATTATAACATGATAATTATTCTTAGACCATTGAATAAAGCAGGTATTCCAAGCTCTCTGAATGATCCAGCATTAATCTTGTGATCATAATCTGGTTAAAAATTAATATTCCTAGCTCCCATTCATTACAGTTCTGGTCTTGCCTAGTTATTCTGCCACAGTTGATAATAAGGTTTCATTTGTACATATGGTTCTCAGAGCATTTAATTTGGAAGAAAGCTTTGGAAAAATGTATTTTATCCACAGCTGAGGCAGCCAGGAATTTTCTTTATAAAAATCCATGGCATAAATCACAACAAACTGGAATTATAGTAAAAACAGTTTGTCAAACCACAAAAATACCAATATGTTTCTATTTATTTTGCTTTGGCAGTATATGTGCCTGTTCTATGTGGCAAAGACACTAAACATCAAGTTTCTCTCACAGTTCCATGTGCTTTCTGCTACCTTTAACTGGCCTTCAGATGATTTATTATAAAAAACGAGCACATACAGTAATGTGGAAATTAAATGTAAATACTGTTGAAGGAGGATGAAATGAAACTGAGCTAGTTAATTCTGGTGTTTGAGAAAGCTAGAAATCTGGTTAATGCCTATCTGATGACATTTGATGGTTCAAAACCATTGAGATAGCTAAAAGGGCAGACTCAAAATCGTGAGCTCCTCTATTTCTTTCCATTCACACTAATAATTAGAGGTTAAGTTAATGCCCTCCCCACACCACTGAAGCAGCAAATTGGGGATGGGGGGCATTACTTGATTATTCTCCCCAATTTGCTGCTTCAGTGCTGTGGGGAGGGCATTAACTTAACCTCTAATTATTAGTGTGAATGGAAAGACATAGAGGAGCTATCTAACTTAGCGCTTCTACTATAAAGGATACATGCTTTATACACAGATAGTGTGAGAGCAGCAGAGATTATTTGAATGTCCCTGTTATAAAAATGCCATAATTTTAAGAATTGGCCTTATGAGGATCCATAGGGGTGCGGTGATGGCAAATGACAAAACATGTACGATAATGTCTTTGTACAGATGCCATGAGTTACATGCTTGTATCGGATGTCAGAATGCAAGAATTTAAGGTTAACACTTGCATGATACCACCACGCGCATTAGGCTCCCTCACTGTCACCGATACCACTGATTGGTTCTTGAGTTTGCTTGTTTCCCCCTTCGCTATCCAATCATTTTTCCCACTTGGTCTTTTCAGCTGAAAACTTATTTTTAATGTACATACACCATCTAGGAAAATTCAGTTGCATTACTGTATAACCATTTAGTAAAGAGTGATAATTTGGAAATGGTTTGGAAAGTGCAATATCACATTTCAAAAACTTCTTTCAAACGTTTTTACAAAAAACCCAAGCAGTCTGAACACTTCCCTTCAATTACTGAATGAAATTCAAAGTAGACTAGAAGGCTTATACAATAATAAGTGATAAACCTTTAAGGTACCAGAAATTAGTTTTCACTGTGTGCTGTCCCACTAAAAACAATAGGATTCCAGGAGGAATAATAGGGATTAAAAAGAGCAACAAAAAAAAAAGGCTGGGCCAGTTTATTCCTTAAACAGCAGTTCCATATCCAGGTTGTGCACTCGGGAGTGCAAGCAGGTTGAAGTCGGAGAAACAGGGTTTTTAAAACAATTAAAATTAAGCAATTTAATAAAAATTTCAAAATAAATTCATGGGTCATGCTAAGGGCACTCCCACAAGCCACCATTTCCGCTCCACCATTTTGAAATCATCTTTTTTCCTCCCAACCTTAACGCTGCATACCGGCAGGAGATACCATGAACTGATCGGTAGTCCTTCCAACTAACCAACAGGAGATGCAAAAATTGTCATTCGGTCAGCAGTATCACCTACCCCCAGGCTGCTAAAGGCCCTGCAGTAACAAAAATCCCCTCAATCCTGCTCCGTGCAGAAGTGCGTGTGGGGGGAATTGATTGCTTGGAGCACCCCCTTTATATTTTTAGGTCCATCTCCATACTGTGTGAGGTTGGCATTATGCAAAATATTTTGAGCTGAGCTATTGGTATGAGGAAAAATCTGCCTGCTTGTCAAGATACAATTCTTTCTGTATATAGCTTCCCATTGAAATTTATGATGATGGGCTAGCACTTTAGTTTTGCAGCCAGACATTTTGCATCAACAGTTGCAACCTTAATTGAAAGTTCCAGTGTGTAGTCGCTGTGTAAGGATGAGGGAAAAACTAACTTAACCCCAGATGCTGTGAAGTGGGGTAAGGAAAGGCTACAGCACAGGCAGCTTGTAGAAGCAGGAAAAATCAGCTGGTGTTTTTTTAGATAGATTGTGAAACTAAGAGAATAAAGACAGGGTTTCCTGATAAGGTTGCCTGAGAGATTCCAGTTCAGGCACCAAGACAAAAGTTCCTGTGAATGGGAAGATGATCTGCCTCCATTTTCTCTCAAAATGTCAGAAACATAACAGCATTTTTGCCTTTTGCCTGCACACTACAGACAAGACAAAAGAAAGTCAGCTTGGTTATACAAGGAGGAGGATGTGGCACCAATGCCAAATTGTTGCGGATACTGTGCATGGAGTACACCTTTAAGGAAGGGCAGGAATGCACATAGGAATTAATGGGGAGCTGAAAATCATTATTCACATGACTAAGCAACTATGAATAAGTGACAAACTAGTTAGGCTTAAACCACAGAATGGGTTCTGAAAAGAAATGGAATAAGCCAAAGAAATTGAAATAAATTATTTATTTACATCTTTTTATTTAAGCACTGAGAGCATCTAGCAATTCCAAAAAAAAAAAAATAATCCAGAATACAATACAAAACCTAATAGAAATTTAAAGGTATACATACATTAAAACCAACAGAAGCATTAATTCATAAGAGTCTGGTTAAAGATGCATCTGGGCTGTCTTTATAAAGGAAGAGGGACCACATTCTACTGTCTGGGAGCAACACAGGAATAAACCCTCTCCTATGTGCCAAATAAATGAGCCTCTGACAAAAGGAACATCTTCAGAAAATCTCTCCTGCAGCTCTTAATGGCTAGATGGGGTCCTAACAGAATAAGCAAGTCCCTGGGAGTCAGGTTCCAAACCATTTAACAGTGACACCTTAAATTGTGCCTATTTAGCACAAATGGATTCAGGTACTCAGTATCCTCCAGATGGATCTGGAGTTGCAAGACGACCTGTCTTTCTAAACGTGTTACCTCCTCTGAGCCTTCGGGCAACTTCCATTACCTCGTATGGATGTTCTGGCCTTTTACTTTTGCATCACCTCGTGCGTGTTGCCCATCAATACTTTTTTGCAGAAGTCCAAGAAGGACCCACTCACCAAAATAACCAGGGATAGTTTTAACAAAGCGAAGTTAGTACTATGTAAAGTAAGTACTATCAGAATCTGGCTCGCAGAACTTGCCTAATTAGCAAAACTTCACGAGATTAGCATTATGTAACTTTAAACTTTATTCCAGCATTACACAGCTAAGTTTACTACGGCATCAGCTGTTGTGAATGAAACTCAGTGTATTTATCTAATAGCGTCATATACAGTCAGGAACTCGTGACTAGAAACTCGACCCCTTCCACTTTTCTGCAAATTTTACAGCAATCGGCTAAAAGCAACCTCCTTCCAACAACGAACTACATTTCCCATTATACCTTGGCATCGCCCCGTTGCTTCAGTTCTCTTCCGGTTCTCTGCGTTGCCTAGAGCTCTTCTACGCCGGAAGTGGCTCGCAGAACTTGCGTAGAGCCGCTTTAACGGCTGAGCCCCTCAGTCCAGCGAGTGTTGGGCAAAGAGTCAGCAGTCGCTGAGCGGCCATGGCGCTGAACAGGAACCATTCGGAGGGAGGCGGCGTTATCGTCAATAACAGCGAAAGGTACCGGGGGCGGCGTTTGCGGCTCGTGGGGTCTGGCCCCGGCATACTGCGTCAGCGGCGCTTCCCCCTCACTCCCCGGTTCCTGACTCCCGGGGGCCCGCCCTTTCGCAGGTGCCCCGCCTCCGGGGGCGGGGAAAGAAAGTTCCCCGTCCCATTCCGTCCGTCTGTCTGTTCGGCGCCCGCCTTTTCTTGCTTCTTCCCACCAGGTGGCTGGGCACCTGCTGGACTAGCCCAGGAGCCCCACTCGCTCTTTCCTCCGTTGCATATTAGCAGGCGCGTAGTGGCCTTCTGGCATAGTGGCAGATTCAGGCCATGACGCTTCTGCTGCCATGTTTCGAGTAAAGGAAGTGTTTTTGTGTTTGTTTTTTTAGAATGTCACAAATAGGGCGGACCTTTCTTCTCTCCTGCTTTCCTCCTGCTTCGACCTTTTTTCCTCCCCTTAATGTCCCCCTTCCCCAACTGGACATCTTCCTAGATGATTTGGGATTGCAGCTCCCGGAATTTCGAGTAGCGCAATCGTGCAGGCACTGGGAGTTACTGTTCTAGCACATCTGGAGGATCAAAAGTTGGGGAAGGCTACTTCACAAGTGCATTTGCCACCACGTATCTGATGAAGTGAGCTGTCGTTAATAAATCATTACAGCTTTTATGTGGCTGAAGGCATAGTAAGTTTTAAAAAAATTTTAGCTAACAATGGAAAATTAACTAAGAATCTCCCGGGGGCCCGCCCTTTCGCTCCCGGGGGCCCGCCCTTTCGCTCCCGGGGGCCCGCCCTTTCGCTCCCGGGGGCCCGCCCTTTCGCTCCCGGGGGCCCGCCCTTTCGTGTCCCCCTTCCCCAACTGGACATCTTCCTAGATGATTTGGGATTGCAGCTCCCGGAATTTCGAGTAGCGCAATCGTGCAGGCACTGGGAGTTACTGTTCTAGCACATCTGGAGGATCAAAAGTTGGGGAAGGCTACTTCACAAGTGCATTTGCCACCACGTATCTGATGAAGTGAGCTGTCGTTAATAAATCATTACAGCTTTTATGTGGCTGAAGGCATAGTAAGTTTTAAAAAAATTTTAGCTAACAATGGAAAATTAACTAAGAATTGTGTGCAATAGAACTTGTCCTGAGCATA